AAAATTGTAAAAAAACCCATATCTCTTAATTGTAGGCAGGGGCTCGCAATTACATTAATTGCAACAGAAGTCCCCTCCTCCATCTTCCCCAAAACGTAAAACCCAAAAAAAAAAAAAAAAAAAAAAAGAAAAAAAAACCTTTTTTTTATTTATTGTTGGCGGCGCCAGCCGACGCCCCTTGCCTATAGCCCAACAGGAGACGCCGCCTCTCAGGGGACAGTCCCCTGCCGCTACAGCGGTGCCTTAGCGCTGTAGTCTACAGCGGCTACACCTGCGGCAGTGGCACGCGGCCACCATCGTTGTCGTCATCCATCCCAAAAAAAAAATTTGTTTTTCAAAATTAGATTCTGAAGAAATAAAATTAAAAACTATAATTGCTAAATTCAGGGATAAACATGATTAAATCAACTTTTAATTTAATCAATATGTAAATCAATTCCTAAAAAATACAAAGTTGGCTCTGATACCGCTTTTGAAAATTTACTTAAACATGCACAACGGAAATAAAACAGTTTCCATTCCCACCAGGATTCATCTTTGCATTTAGATAAGAACTGTGATGAGAATTATAAATCTGCCTCCCACAGCTGTCCAATTGTTCAGCCTCCAATGAAATCCACACAGAGAATAGACTGCAACTGCTAGAATTTTTCCTCTTGTGCCAACAAGAATTATGAAAACAATATGGATCTTAAACCCTAGCCATGTATTTATATAAATCCAAAGGGGCTCGGCTCGGTCCGGTCCAATATTTAATTAATCCATTTAATTAAACTCGGTCCGTGAATTAATTTAATTAATTCGAGGATATAAATAACAAATCCAATTAATTAATTCACCCAACAATTGTTAAATTAATTAATTGGTAATTTGCAATCTTCCAATTCTCTTTTGTGTGCGACCCATCAGGTTCCCGACAACGATACCTAACGACGTGAAATATTATTTTGATCTAATCAAAATTGATAAATTAAACACCCTTTTAATTTATCACAAATTCAAACTCGCCGTCCCAGATTGACATCTAACAATGTATCAGAGCAACACATGTGACGAGAAATGTCACGTGGTATGACAAAGCCAAAACTGTTCGTTTACCATGAAACTATAATTTCTTCGTCAATATGATCCGATCAACTACGAGATATGGAAGTGTGTCAATCTTGATTATCGATCATATCTTTCATTCTACTATTAAGTCAATATGAGTCGAAAAAGACGAAAACTCTTTTTCGACTTATATGTATACTTTGGCCAAGGATTTCGTTATTGACTTAATTGAACGAAATGCAGATCACAATCTCTTACTATTTAAGAGTGATGAATCATCTATTGATCATTCACAACCTTCATATGGTTCTTGGCATACTCGAACGATGTCGTATTAGCGGCCCTTGGTAGAGCAACATCCAACATCATCAAAGCATGACTGTCCTCATACAAGGCACTATGATGACCTCAAGCCATAGGACCAATTCCACTATCAAACGTTAGAGATTAACCATTGACACTCAGATAGTTATCCATGTGGAATCTCTAAGCGGGTCTCCAATGTTTTGTTCTATAACAAAATATCCACGTGTTCATTTAAGTGTCACCACACTTTGGCTTGTGAGATCAGCTACTTACTTCACAAGTAAGAAATGTCACATGTAATGGTCTATCTGTATTAACGATATCTATATCTCGTTATTATTTTCGACCACGATTTATTCAAGATCCAATCATACGTAATTTATATCTCACAATCACAACTCCTTCTGATTAACAAATCACTTAAACTTGGATTTTCGGACTCTATTATTTAATATTATTTATCACAAAATTAATTTAAATAAATAATAGATCTTGCCAAAATTAAATGCATTAAACATATTAAAAGTGTTTACAACCCAAATCGATTGGATTTAGGGCATAACACTTACAGTCCATTGGTGTTATTCATTTACTTAGATAGAGGGAAAGTATGCAATTAAATATTGATACATGTACTAGACTGGGTTCATGTTGGAAAAATTATATATATACGCTTGTAATCTAGCCATTTGAAAATCAAGTCTAGTTGAAGCGATAATAAAATAACATATAGTTCCTCCACTACTTTTTTTGTGAGTGTTGAGTGAACTTATGCATTCCAATTTCTAAAAAATTGGTATCAGAGCCGCTTGTGTTTAGAGACAATTGAAGAAAAGATGATAAATGGAACTCCATTTCTAGATCCATCACTCGCCAAAAAAAATAATGATAATTGTTGCATTCTTATGAAAGCTTTACTTGGAGCATATGTTGTTTGGAAACCTGTGGCACAAGGTATCGCAACAGAAGATGCAGATGCAGCTACCAAGAAAGATTAAATAGCATTATCTCTCGTATATCCAAGTTTAGATGAAAATATGTTTGAGAAGGTTGCTAGAGCAACCACCTCCAAGGAAGCATGGGATATTCTTCAAGATTCTTTTTAAAGGAGGTGATAAAGTGAACAAGATACGTCTCCAAAAATTAAGAGGAGAATTCAAATCCTGACCAATGAAGGAATTCGAATCTGTTTTGGATTAAATTTCAATAGTTTTGGCTGTTGTCAAATGAGGAGATATGGGGATGACATAAAGGATGATTGGGTTGTTGGAAAAATTGTACAATCCTTATATCCATGATTTAATTATATCGTCGTCGCCATTGAAGAGTCCAAGGATTTGGACACCATGACCATTGAGAAGCTTGCCGAATCTTTGCAAGCTCATGAAGAACTACTAAAGAAATTGCAGCAAGAATTGGAAAAGCAAGCTTTGCAAGCAAACTTTTATTGAAAGAGAATGAGGAAAGAAGTGGCAACTCCCAAATAGGTCGAGGACTTGAAAGAGGTCTTGGTCATGGAAGAGGAGGACAAGGAAATAACCTTCAAATAATAAAGAGAAAAGATAAAATTGAAATCATGGAAAAAGCCATGGATGAGGCAATTGAGGAAGTTTGAAACAAAATCAAGGAAGGTATAACAGAGCAAATGTTGAATATTAAACTTGTCACAAATATGATATTATTTTTGGAATGCAAAAATAATATGGAAGAGAAAACTAACTTTGTGGAGAGCAAGAATGAAGATGGAGATCCTTCTTTGCTTCTTGCTTGCAAAAGTAATGCAAATGAAGAGAATAATCAATGTTATCTTAATTCCGATGCAAGTAGTCATATTTGAAAAATGAAAAATTTATTTACAGAGCTTGATAAATCCATTGGTTGAAATATCACTCTTGGAGATTTTTCCAAAGTTCAAGGCCAAGGAACATGTACTAGATGGAAGTCATCAATGCATTTCTAATGTGATTTATGTGCCGGATATGAAAAGTAACATTTTGAGATTGGGACAACTTTTGGAGAAAAATTATGATATTCACTTGGAAGAAAAAAGTTTGACTATGAAAGATGAAAATAGAAGATTGTTAGCGAAGGTGCCGATGATGAAGAATAGAATGTTTATGTTGAATATTTAACAGGATGTCCCGAGATGCTTGAAATCGTGTGCTAAAGATTCTTCTTGGCTTTGACACATGAAATTTGAACATCTAAATTTCGATGGCCTCAAAATAATGAACCAGGAAAGCATGGTGAAGGGATTGCCAACCATTGATCATCCAAATCAATTTTTTGAAGGATGTCTAGAAAGCAAGTAAGAAAGAGCTTTCCTAAAGAGTCTTTAATAAGAGCTCAGTGTCCATTGGAATTGATCCAATCGGATGTTTATAGACCTAGCAAACCATCAGCACTTGGTAAGAATAATTATTTCTCCTTTCTATTGATGATTTTCTCAAAAAATTGGGGTTTATTTCTTGAAGGAAAAATTGGAGGTGTTTGAGACTTTTAAAAAGTTCAAGACTTTGGTAAAGAAACAAAGCGGATATCAAATCAAAGCTCGTCGATCTAATAGAGGTGGAGAATTCACTTCCAATGAATTTAAAGACTTGAGAGAAAAATGGCACTCATCGTCCTTTTACACTTCCAAGATTGCCACAACAGAATTGTGTAGCTAAGAGAAAGAACTAGACCTTACTTAACTTGGCAAGGAGTATACTTAAGAGCTAAAATATAGCTAAGGAGTTTTGGGCTAAAGCCGTTGCTTGTGTAGCCTATTTGTCCAACCGATGCCATACCAAAAGTGTCCACAGCAAAACTCCACAAGATGCTTGGAGTGGTTACAAGCCAAATCTTTCACACTTCCTGGTTTTTGGAAGTATAGCCTATGCTCATGTATCGGATGAGAAAAGGACTAAACTTGATGACAAAAGTGAGAGGTATGTGTTTATGGGCTATGACCAAAGTTCTAAAGGTTACAAGTTGTACAATCCAAGCAATGGCAGAATAATCATTAATAGAGATGTTGAGTTTGAGGAAGAAAGAGCTTGGGATTGAAAAGTTGCAAAGGAAGAATACAATTTTAATCCCTTCTTTGAAGAAGAAGAAGAAGATTAAGACGTTATGCAACCTATTAGTCCATCCCTAGTACCTCCATTAAATCCACAAATTAGGAAAACAAGTACAAGTGAGGGGCCTCGAAAAACTAGAAGTATCAAGATTTTGTACAAGTCAACTGATTAGATAACACAAAACTTAAGTGACTTGACTTAATTTTGTATTTTTGTGGATTGTAAGCCTCTAGCTTTTGAAAAAACCACTCTAGATAAAAATGGAGAGATGTCATAGATGAAGAAATAAAGGCAATCAAGAAGAATGATACGTGGGAATTAACATCACTACATAAAGGAAAAAAGCACAATTGTTGTCAAGTGGGTATACAAGACAAAGAAAAATTTGAAAGTCGAGATAGAGATATATAAAGCAAGATTAGTTGAAAAAGGATACAAACAAAAGCCGGCATTGACTATAGTGAGGTGTTTGCACCAGTTGCTCATTTAGAAACAATTTGTTTTATTATTTCCTTGGCAGCCCAAAACAAATGGAAAACTCATCAAATGAACGTTAAATCATTTAAAAATAGTTCGTTTGAAATGGCGAATTGCAAGCCAGTGAGCACCCCTGTTGAATGTAGAGTTAAATTATCTAAACAAAGAGATGGAGCAAAGATCAACCCCACATTTTTCAAGAGCTTTGTTGGAAGCTTCAAGTATTTAACTTGTACAAAATCAAATATTCTTTTTGATGTTGGACTTGTAAGTCGTTTCATGGAAGCTCTTACTACTTCTCATTTCAAGGTAGCCAAAAGAATACTTCATTACATTAATGGTACACTTGACTTTGATATGTTCTATACATCTTCTCAAGACTTCAAGCTTGTTGGCAATTGTGATAGAGATTGGGCTAGTGATATTGATTATTGTTTTAATGCTTGAATTAGAGAGAGTACATGTATCTCCATGGTGTTATTCATGTACCTGGATAGAGGGAAAGTATGCAATTAAATATTGATACAGGTACTAGGTTAGGTTCATGTTGTGAAAATCCTATATATACTCATGTAATCTAGCCATTTGAAAATCAAGTCCAGTTATAAGTGATAATTAAATCACATATATTTCCTCCACTACTTTTCGTGAGTTTGAGTATTGAGTGAACCTATGTTCTCCAATTTCTAAAAGTTCTAGCATTTACCTGGCCACCTTCTATTACGTATACAATAGTCTTGTAGTCTTTGGAACTATAACAATTTCTCAGAACAAGATCAATCAAAATTATATGAGAGAGGGATTCAATATATAGATGCATTCGACATAGGATAGTAGGAAAGAGAGATCTTACTGGCACAATGATCATCTTAGTCTCTCGAACTTCAACTTCTATATGCAAGAAAAGAATTTTTGTGAAATCACTCGAGTAAATGAACTCCTGCGTACATCCCCCATATAAATGTTAATGCACTACATCTTTCTAAAATGAGAAATTTGTTGACTGGTAGAAATCATTTTTGCATCCAATCTTGACAGCCAGAATTGAAATCAAACTAGGTTCAGAATTTTTGATATAAAAATAAATTTAGTTTGCTCTAATATTAAACATGATAAATTTGAGAAAGAAATTGTAACAAATTCGTTTCACATTTCATCTCTTCAATAGTCAATTGGTCCTTGAGATTTCAGTTTCGACATTTATAGGAGTCTTAATTCTACCATTGATTGAAAAGTTTGGTAACCTAAGCCATAATTTGATGAATGTTTTGGCTATATATATAGATGGGTTTGGTTTCAAGCTCACCACCCAAAAATACAATATACACAATCAATTTAGAGGGTAGAGAGCTTGGAAGTGCCATTACCTAGAATAAAGGAGAGCTTCTAAAATAACATCAATGACCAGAGGTATGAATTTGATCCGTGAGATTTTTTGGTTTTTTCGATCCAATTTGTTTTACCTAACATTTGATATCAGAGCTACATATTACCTATGCCTTGGTGTTTCACCATCAACCTACAAATCTCTATGTTCTTTGACTGAATTTTTCTGAAAATGGATTCAGATTTCTCCATAAAATCGATTCTTAGCCTCAGTATGTTTTAGAGTTTTGACATTGGGAAAGTAAAATTTGAAGTCATTCTGAAATGGGTGAAATTTAGTCACTGTGGAAAGAAGATGACAAGGGTGTTACAAAATGGATTATTAGAATTGGGCCTTTTTTTTTTAAAATGATGAGAATTTTATTGGGCTTATTAGTGTTTTTCCACGAAATGACGTTCAATTTGGAAGTCAGTAATTGGGCCTTTTTTTAAAATGATGAGAATTTTATTGGGCCATTGTTGAATGGCCTTTAGTTGTGTTTAAGTGGGCCAATTAATATTATTAAGTGACTTGCAAATTTTAATTGAGCCACGACCTATATAGTTCGTACTAGGCCAATTTTACATTTCCAAGTTCAATTGGGCCTATTTTACGAATTAATTTATTGGTCCAATTTTATATATTTTAAATCTAGGGCATTACTGTTATATTTATGATGAATTATATTATGAAAAGTTATAATTATGCTCATATTTAGTTTGCATGAGTTAATTATGTTTTAAATTATTTTATGCAATTTATAATGCTTATGAGAATATTTTGTGCATAATCATAACATGATGGTTTAAATTATGCTATTAGAATTGTTCTCATAGTGAGTTAATTGTTTATGCGTAAAAGGATAGTGTCTAGTGATCTATAGAGTTTTATTTAGTTAAGGATTAGCCATAGCATCTTTAATTAAATAAAAGCATATATTAAGATGGGGATCACATAAGGATTAAAGACATTAGCTTGTAATTAATTATACTTAATGTAATGAATCTTATCCTATAGGAATTTTTGTTATATTTATATAATTAATTAGAATAAAATATCAAATTATTTCATAATATGCCCACAGGAATTATGAATAAGTAAATAATTTGATAATTTTATTGTAAAGTTTACTTTATGATAGAATCTCAAATTACTTTCATAATTAACTTAAATGTGAATTAATTACATAAAATTATCGATGCCAGCACTGCAGAAAATGGGAACAGTCTAATCGCCTCAGCGTAATTTTCATATAGGATAAACTTTTTCTAGGACTTGATAAAGGCCATTAATAATCAATTTGTCACTTCAGATAAGGCACTAACGAGCACCCTTATAATGAAATTCTCATCCTTGAGGCTCATCAGTGTAAAAGGTGTGCGCAAGCACATCATGCAGATGAGAGACATTTCAAGATCTCATACAGCACATAAGAGTGAGATGTCTAAATCCTTCCTTGTACACTACGTCTTAAATAGTCTCCCACAAGAGTACGAACCTTTCAAGATCTTCTACAACACACATATGAACAAATGGTCAATTAATGACTGTGTTCAAGAAGAATGGAGACTATTAATGAAGCAAGGTGAAAGTGTAATATTGACCATAACCCGTGGAAATGGGAAGGCTTAAGCCAATCAAAAAAGGGAAAGATAAAATCCATCCCAAGCTGATATTAAGAAAGAGGCCAAGTGTTACTTCTGTAAAAAGAGGGGACACATGAAGAAAGATTGCACCACATTCAAGAAATGGATTGAGGATAATGGTAATCCAACCTCATTTGTTTGTTATGAATCTAATATGATTAATGTAAATATAAACACTTGATGGATTAACTTTGGATCTACAATCCATATTGTAAACCCTTTGTAGGGTTCACAAAACCTAAGGAAGCCAATGGAAAGTGAACAAAATATCTTATCCGAAAATAAGATGGGCTCACATTGGAGGCTATAAGAACATGCATTTTAACTTTAAGTAGTGGCTTGTTTTGAAATTAGATAGGGCCTTTATGTTCCGAGTTTTTCACGAAACTTGATTTCTATATCTAGACTTGTACCTTTGGAATAATCCTTTAATTTTTCAAACACGTGATTCAATTTATTATATAATTCTTATTGTGTTGGGAATGGTACTTTGTTTGATGCTCTTTATCGTATTAATTTACAAAGCATTATCACTTATAGTTCAATGTATATTAATATTGGCACTAAACAGTGTAATATTAACGAAGATTCCTCTATGTTGTGGCATCAAAGATTAGGACATATCTCTATGGATAGAACCAAAAAACTAGTGAATGATGGGGTACTTAATACTCTAGATTTCACTGATTTTGACACATTTGTGGACTACATTAAGGAAAAGCAAACCAACAAGTCCAAGAAAGGTGCCAACAGGAGTTCGAACATATTAAAAATCATACATACTGATATATGTAATCTAGACATGAACTCACATGGTCAAAAATATGTCATCACCTTTATTGATTATTACTCACGATAGATGTATCTCTACTTCCTCTATGTTAAGAATGAAACATTGTATGCCTCTAAAAACTTTAAGGTTGAAGTAGAGAAACAATATGAGAAGCAAATTAAGATTGTCAATACACAGAAGATGGAAAAGCACCTAGTCGTACACCATGCTTGGTTTACCAAATCAAAATTGTGTAGCAGGAAGAAGAAATAGAAGATTATTGGACAAGGTACAAAATATGCTTAGTAGCTCCAATCTTCTTAAATCCTTGTAGACTGGAACAGTTAAGACCATAGTGTATATATTAAATAGAGTTCCAACCAAGGCTATCTTAATGACACCATTTGAATTATTGAAAGGTTGGAAACCAAGTTTACCACGTATGCACATTTGGGGATGTTCGTCTGAAGTGAGAATCTATGATCTACAAGAGAAAAAGATGGACCCAAGGACCATTAGTGTATGTTTCATTGGATATGTTGAAAGGTCTAAAGGATATAGATTTTACTGTCCATCTCACAGTAATAGGATTATGGAATAAAAAATGCTAAGTTTTTTTTTTTTTTTAAATGACTTGATTAGTGGAAGCGATCACACCAAGCATGATCATTTGGAAACTCAACCTTCCATCTCAGATAATAGATTAGTCATAGTTTACAGCACCCCTCAAGTACAAACGGGCATTGAGCAACCAATCAATGAAATTCCTCAAGCTGCTGACAATGTTCAAATAGATTAGGTAATTCAGGAATTACCAGAACCCCCTGAACAAATAGTTGAACCACAAGCTTCTCGAGAAGATGATGGTACAACATGAAAAAGATCTACTAGAACCAAAAGCTCAACAATTTCTAGTGATTATGAAGTTTATCTACAAGAACCTGACCATGATATTGGAGTCGAAAATGATCCTGAATCATTTTCACATGCCATAAGTTGTAAAAAGTTCGAATTATGGAATAATGCCATGAAAGAAAAAATAAGTTCCATGAAGAGCAATGGAGTCTGGGATCTTGTTGAGTTACTTAGTGGTGCCAAAGCAATTGGCTGTAAATGGGTCTTTAAGACTAAGAAAGACTCGCGAGGCAATATTGAGAGATACAAAGCAAGACTTGTTGCTATGGGATTTTCTCAAAATGAAAGAATTGATTGCACGGAGACCTTCTCTCTGATATCTAAGAAAGATTCTTATGTATTATTTTGGCATTAGTAGCCCAATTTGACTTTAAGTTATAACAAATGGATGTGAAAACAACATTTCTCAATAGAGATTTAGAGGAGGAAGTTTATGTAAAACAACTTAAAGGATTTCCCTCTAATAATGGTGAGCACTTGGTCTATAAGCTTAAGAAGTCTATATATGGTTTAAAACAAGCGTCCCATCAATGGAATTTAAACTTTCATGGAGTAATTTCTTTATTTGGATTTTTTGAAAATCTCATGCATCATGTATATACCAGAAGGTTAGTTGGAAGTAAGTTGTTTTATACATAGATGATTTTTACTTGCAATCAATGATAAGGGTTTATTGCATGAGGTAAAATAATTTCTCTAAACATTTTGATATTAATGATATAGGTTAGGCATCTTATGTTATTGGCAT